CACTTGATTTCTCCAGTAGTCACTAGGCACAGACATCTTAGGCAAATCACTGAGCTAAGCTAAAATTCATTTTCCTCATCTGTAAGTAAGGAAGCGTGACTTCCTGGGAGGATTTGTCCCGAGGTTAGCCATCAAGGTCAGAGTCCCCAGAGTCCCTAGTACACACTGTGCACTAAGACTCCACACCCAGCACCTCATCTTTCTGCTCACTGTTTCTCACCTCGCTGTCAGTGGGTGGCCAGGAGCTTGTGTGTACTCAGAGGGCAGGAGGGGTACAACTCAAGGGTGACTGCAGTGAAAGGCAGGATAAAGAACATCACGTTGTTAAGCTCTGAAGTGAAGATCTTACATAATCAACATCTTTAAAATCAGAACTTGGGGTCAGAGAGTACATAGGGCTTTTTTTTAACAGCACCAGTTTCCTGGGCCCACCGTGAAAACAGCTAAGCTGTTAGAACCTCTTCTGTAATGAGAGTCAGAGCACTGGGTAGTTACTGCTCTGAGAGTCAGTGTCTGCCGCAGGCTCTGCCGCTGGGGCCCCTGGGAGCTCAGCCGGTGAGGTCAGACCCCACCCCAAGTGACAAAGCCTCCTTCCATGACTGTGCAGGAGACAAGTACACACTTGGTAAAAATAAGTTATGTGGGGGCATTGATTCATGTCTTTGTCAGGGAAATTACATCACAAAGGTGTATAAAATTGCAAAAGTAGAACTTGCATAGTAAGTAACATTTTTAAAAGTGGGAGTTTCTCCCTGTAACCGATTAGAGTGCTCTTTTATACTTGTTTCTCACAAAGTCCCACACCAAAAACAACAAACTGGAAATTCCACCGGATATAAGAAGATATTGTGATTGAAACTCTTGCCATTCTTTTAAAAAAATATATGTTGTTGTTTTTGTTGATTTTAAGGAGAGAGGAGAGGAGAGGGAGAGATAGAAACATCAATGATGAGAGAGAATCATGGATTGGCTGCCTCCTGCACACCCCTTATTGGGGATCCAGCCCGCAGCCTGCAACCCGGGCATGTGCCCTGACCAGGTGGGAACTGAACCAGTGACCTCCTGGTTCAAGGGTTGATGCTCAACCATTAAGCCACACTGGCTGGGCATAACTCTTGCCAATCTTTTCAGGCCTTTCAGTGGAAGAAGATATCAATGTTTCACTCCCAGCCTCACATTTTAAAATTTTGTTTGAAAATGTTATTGTGGTGCCTGGCCAGTGTGGCTCAGTTGGTTGAGCGTCGTCCCATGCACCAAGAGGTCACTGGTTCAATTCCTGGTCAGAGCACATGCCCAGGTTGTGGGTTCCATCCCCAGTAGGGGGTGTGCAGGAGGCAGCCAATTGATGTGTCTCTTTCTCTCTCCCTCTCTTCCTCTCTCTCTCTAAAAAAAATCAATAAAAACATATTTTAAAAGTTATAAAAAATGTAATTGTGGTAAGAACAGTTAACCTGGGATCTATACCCTCAGCAGATTTTCATTTTTTGCAGTTTTTAAAGTATATAACCCATTGTTGTTATCTAGAGGCACAATACTTTAAAGCAGATCTCTGGAACTCATTCATCTTGCATAACTGAAATTTTATATCCACTGATTAGCAACGTTCCATTTCCCCTCCTTTATCCCCTGGCAACCATCAACCTATTTTTTGTTTCTATGAGTTTGACTATTTATGTGTTCTGGTTGTTGTTGTTTTTTTGAGTTTGACTATGTTAGATACCTCATGTAAGTGGCATCATGCAGTATTTGTGCTTCCCTGTCTATCTCAAAATTTTAAAATATCATTTTCTTTCTTGATAATGTAAATTCACTCATTGTAGAAAACTTGAAAAATACTAAAAAGAAGGAGAAAACAAACACAAACCTTTGGTCACAGTTCGGTATGTTTTACGATTGCCCATCCTATGCTAGCACCTTACTTCAAGCCCCTCCACACCTCCCCATTCCAGTCTCCCTCCCCTCAGGCCCCCATGCCCTCCAGCCCCAGCAGGCTTCTCTTCCTTCCACCCCACAGCTCCTCCTGTGACAGGGCCTGGGCACCCGTGGTGCTAGTCCTCAGGCAAAAAATGTTCCTGTTCTCTAATTAACCCTGTTTGTCCTTCAGATTTTAGCTTAGTCATCACACCTACACGGAAGTTTCCTGCTAATCTTCCCAGCCTCACCCACCCAAGTACACACAGTTTCACCCTGTTATATCCTCTCATTGCACCTTGAACCTTTGTGTTTTGCCTTGTTTTCGGTTAATCCTCACCAGAGGATATTTTTCCATTGCTGTTTAGAGAGAATGAAATGGAGGGGGAAAGACAGAAGAAATCTCGATGTGAAAGAGACACATGGATTGGTTGCCTCCTGCATGCATCCCGACCAGGCCTGGGGATCTAGCCTGCAACTGAGGTACATCCCCTTGGCGGGAATCAAACCCGGGACCCTTCAGTCCACAGGTCAAAGCTCTATCCATTGAGCCAAATCGGCTAGGGCCACCTTGAACCTTTGTAGCATTAGCCAAAGGAGTAAGCATGTGGCCTATTTGTTTTGTGTTTTTTCTCTGAGGCAGACATGAGCTCCAAGATGGGCACACTCTGCCTGTTTTGCTCCCCAACTTATTCACAGCACCAAGGACCATAAGTGGACTTGTACGTACATATTCCCCTCATATATCTTGGCAGCTTTACAAATCTTTAACCATATTTCTGATCATCGTTTGACAGTAAGTTTCTAGACATGTGTATTTGTCTTCTAGGGCTGCAAAATGCTCCAGACTGGGTGGCTTGAATAATAGAAATTTATTTCCTCACAGATCTGGAGGTGGGAAGCGCAAGATCAAGGAGTCGGCAGATGTGGTTTATTCTGGGGCTCCCTCCTTGGCTTATAGACAGCCACCTTCTCACTGTGTCCTCACATGGTTTTTCCTGTGTGAACACATCCTTGGTGGTCTCTGTGTGTCCAAATTTCCTCTTCTATTAGGACACCAGTCAGACTGGACTAGGGCCCACCCTAGTGGCCTTATTTTAACCTAATCCTTAAAGGTTCTAGCTCAGTAGTTCTCAACCTTCCTAATGCTGCAACCCTTTAATACAGTTCCTCATGTTGTGGTGACCCCCAATTTCATTGTTACAAATTGAACATAATTAGCGGTTTCCGTAGTGTAGTGGTTATCACGTTCGCCTCACAAATTGAACATAATTAAAGCACAGTGATTAATCACAAAAACAATATGTAATTATATATGTGTTTTCCGATGGTCTTAGCCGACCGCTGTGAAAGGGTCGTTCAACCCCCAAAGGGGTCTCGACCCACAGGTTGAGAACCGCTGTTCTAGCTCCAGATGAGGTCACATTCTGAGTATCTCACATAGGGCTTCAATATGTGAATTGGAGGGGAGGGACACAACTCAGCCCATAACAACACTCAACAGATGGGTCCAAGGAGCAGGATATTTTAACCTCCCAACACATTTTGCCAATGGCTTACTGGGAAGGTGTGTCCATTTATAGTCCTACCAGCCAGGAATCACAGGCCTATCTCTCTCCACTCTTGCCACTTCTTGGTATCACTAAGAAACATTTTTATTTTTGCTAACCTGAAAGGCGAAATTGTACATTATTTCACTTAAATAATCTTTGGTGACTAATAAGCATAAACAATTTTTACCATTTGGCATTTTTTTTCATTCTTTATATATCTATTAATCCAATAGATATTTAATAAACTCATCCTGTGAATAAGGCAAGGTGCTGCATAGGACTAGGATTTCAGCAGAGAATGAAACACAGCCCTTGATGTCATGGAGATACAAATTAATGGAGAAGAGAGACATATTACAAAATTACCCAAATTACCGATTATATGATGAGAGGTATGAGCGCCCAGGAGAACATCTAACAGGGACCTGAACCAATCAAGGTGGCAGGAAAAGCTTTCTGGGGGTATGCAGTTTAGTGGTGACTGAAGGATGATTAGCTATTAGCGAGGCAAAGGTGGTGGGTGAGGTCACAGGAAGAAAGAGCAAAGGGAAACTAAGGGTACAGTGGTAGAAGGCAAGGGACAGAGTGTTTCCAGAAGGGCAAGTGGGTTGAATGCTACTGAATTAATCAAGACCAAAATGTGCACAGAACTTGGCAACATTGATACCAACATCGTAACCAAAATTAGTTGTGGATGCAAAAGTTTGAATGGAGTGGATTGGGTAGTGAGGGAAATTGGGAGAGCAAGTGTCATAATTCTTCTAAGAAGTTTGATTTCTCTGAAATATTCTTCTGTGATCATTTCCCAATGTGATTTGAACACGTATGTCATTGTATTACATGATTTCTATGTTTTTCTGTATGTATGTACGATATACTATGTATTGTCAGGATATTATTAAACATTAGTAACATGTAGCACATGATTTTTGTTTTTTGCCTACTATTTAAGTTGTATTTTATGCATATTAGCTTTTTTTGCATAGTTAAATTAATTTTTTTCATTCTGATTTATTCCATTGCTCTTCTGCTTAGAAATTCCTTTTTTGGTGCTCGCTTTGGCAGCACATATACTAAAATTGGAATGATACAGAGAAAATTAGGATGGCCCCTGCACAAGGATGACACGCAAATTCGTGAAGCATTCCATATTTTTTCAAAAAACAAAAAAAGAAATTCCTTCTTTGTACAGAAATCACATATACATTTTTGTATTATTTCTTAAACATGTATGGTTTCATTAAAATTTGTTATGATTTTGGAATTTATTTATACATATCAACTCAAGGCTTTGAATGCTTCATGATATTGCCCTAATGGTGGAGGAGCAAGATAGCTAGTCTTGGGATGTTCTACGTAATGTTTTAACCAATTGATTCTAGTGCTTTATTGTAGAAGAAAGGTCCCATTGATGAAAAAGATAAAATTTCAGTTCAACCTGAGGTTTGTTTAGTTAGTAATTTATGGCTGTTCTGTCTCTGAGCTAATTTCATGCAGTCTCTTTATGTTGTAAACATTTTTATTCTATATTTCCAGTTTCCTGTGCTTCCCAGAGTCACATCATATGACAGCCATCCTAGAAGGCATTCTCATGAGGACCAGGGATTTCGATGTCGTAACCACATGAGGGAGTACAGAAAACGCTCTGAGGATGGGCCCTTCAAGGACCCATTGGAATCAAACAGAAGATCCCATTCCAAAACTCGGGCATTTTCAGAGTCCTTTGAACAACAACTGTGCTTTAGAACCAAACGCTCTCTGTCTTTGGTATGTAACAGAGTTATTGAATACTTAAGCCACTTTAGAAAAGGAAACCCAAAGGGTTCTTCCTCCCCATACTCGTGGAGAACAAATCTAACTTTTTCATTTACAGCTTGTTGATGAGATCTTTGAAAAATGACACTCAGTTTTACTGTACATAGCCCAGATGTACATAATTTTAAATTATTTTTATTGAAGGCTTCTGGTGTAGGAAGAATTCCTGGAGGACCATTAGTGGAATGTTTTTGTTATGGAGGTCCTCTAGTTCTTTGAGACTGCTTTCACCACCCTTATTATAAACTAGAGGCCCGGTGCACAAATTTGTGCACGGGTGGGGTCCAGCCAATCGGAGTGGGGGAGGGCCCATCAGGGGTAGGTCCAGCCGGGGGGAGGGGCTGTGGGCAGTTGGCCGGCCGGCCCCGTCCCCTTGTCAAACTTCCGGTCTAACTCCTGGTCGAGGGGGATAATTTGCATATTAGCCTTTTATTATATAGGATAATTGTGACTCATTCTCCTTCCACTTCTCCTGTGCAGTATTTAATCCAGTAGCAAGTAGTCTGTGATGCCACGTTCCCTTGAACTTTTAAAAAGCATGTGGAGGGAACTCTCTGGTCACTATCTACTAGTAGTAAGTTTCCAGGAGTAGGGGTGGTCCAAGTGCTCATAGTGGCCTTGGGAGGGTCTCAGTAAAGTACAAGGAAGACAGGCTGAAAATGGGGGAATAATAGAAGCTCCACTGGTGATGCTGAGCTTGCTTCATAAAGTAATAAGGTAGAGATCAATTAATTTTGGGGTACAGTTACTTCGGGGAAACTTGCTCACTGAGTGGGCTTGAACAAAATACTTCCTTTTTGTGGTCCTTTGCTGTTTGTTTTATTTTGCAAAACAGGAATGATGATATATTCTGCCATATAGTAGACTGAGCAAATAAGCAAACCTAGGTGTATTACCGCCTGGTTCTTCAGCTACACTCTGTGCACAGCAAGGACACTCAGGTGCTTCCTACCTCATTGCCCATCTGAGCACAATGCTTTCTGCCCAGAAGTAATGGCTGCTGGGACTGTACTGTGTGCCTTTGCCTCACTTTTGTCAGAGTAATCCTGTGTATCTATGTTCCTCCTTCAATAAGCTGCTCTCTTCACCTGATCATAAGAGGAATACAGAAGGAAGAATAGTAAACAGCTGTCACTTATCAAGAGCTCCTGTTTTATCCTTTCTTTATATTGCTTTAAAAAAATATGGTTTCAGACTTAGAGCAATGTTACAAGAATAGTACAAAGAATACACCCTTCATCTATATTCCCTCCAGATATTAACACTTATCATATTTACTATACTCTCTTTCTCCTTCCCATCCCCAAACGAGAGCACTAGAACATTCTTTTATATAAACACAGTACAATAATGAAACTCAGGAAATTACCACCAATGCAATACTTTTGTATCTAATCTATTGACCTTATCCCTATTTTGCCTCTTGTCCTGATAATATTCTTTGTAGGGAGATTGCAGATCATGTGTTGAAAGCAATTCATTCTCTTTAATCTGTTTTATTCTGCAGCAGTTCCTCAGTCTTCACCTGTCTTTTGTAACACTGTCAGCTGAAGAGTACAGGGCAGTTACTTTTTAGAATGACGTTCAAATTGGGTTTATCTGATATTTCCTCATAGTTAGATTAAGATTATGATCTTTTGGCAAGAATAAAGCAGAAGTGAAGGAATTACTGTTTTAAAACTACACATTAAAGTTACTGATTATATTCATTTAGGAAATTTAACTGCCTTAAATCCTTTCTGGAATAAGGTAGGGTATAAGTATATTTTGAAAAATATTTTAATCTAAACACTTCTCTGTTGATTCTAATGGCCTTGAATTGTTTTTCACATAATCTTATAAAAGTGAAACCATTTGCTAATATTATAAGCCCTAAAAGTGTGTAAATGTGTTTTTTATTGAAATATTTATCACATTATTCCTAAAATATAACATGTTGTTCCATTCATTTCCCAAGTTCTTCCTTTTAAAAAAAAATGTATTTTAATTATTTCAGAAAGGAAGGGAGAGGGAGTGAGAGATAGAAACATCAATGATGAGGGAGAATCATTGATTGGCTGCCTCCTGCATGCCCCCTACTGGGGATCTAACCTGCAACCTGGGCATGTGCCCTGACCAGGAATTGAACCGTGACCTGGTTTGTAAATCGATGCTGAACCACTGAGCCATGCCGGCTGGGCCCAAGTTCTACCTTTTGAAAGTGCCCTGACCAGGAATTGAACCGTGAACTCCTGGTTTGTAGATTGATGCTGAACCACTGAGCCATGCCAGCCGGGCCCAAGTTCTACCTTTTGAATGCCAAGATAACCAAGGCAGCATTTTCAACTGTTTTTTTTTTTAACTCAAGAATTCTTTTCATAAGTATCTATATATAGAAAAGCCTAAGCCAGTGGTAGGCAAACTGGCCCCTTGAGTGTGGCTCTTCCACAAAGTACCACGTGCGGGCGCGCATGTACAGTGCGATTGAAACTTCGTGGCCCATGCCACGGGGCCAAAGAGCTGCATGTGGCTCACGAGCCGAGGTTTGCCGACCACTGGCCTAAGCGATTGGCTGGCCAGCCCACTAGTCGACTGGCCGACCAGCTGGCCAGTAGCTATGACCCGCACTAACCACCAGGGGGTAGACGCTCAAAGCAGGAGCTACTGAGCTGCGGTCACTTGGCAGCGTCGGTTCTCAGGTGACACACCTGGAACCAGAGAGGAGGGAGCCGGATTCCGGGGTGTGTCACCCAAGAACTGCCCTCTCACAATCCAGGACCCCTCAGGGGATGTCAGAGAACCAGTCTCGGCCTGATCCCTGCAGGCCAGGCCAAGGGACCCCACCGGTGTACCGATTGGGCCTCTAGTGTACTATAATAGCTAGAAACCTGCTAGGAATTTACAAAATTATTTCAATTTTCATGTGATAAAAATATTTATAGTAAATAATTTTAAATTTAATATTTTCTCTTATGTCAGTTTTAACGAGTATATTATAAAGCTTATCTTAATACAAAATTAAAAATTCAGAACATATACAGATATTTTAAAACTTTTTTCTATTTCACAACTGACACATCTTTCCAAAGCTAACTACATTAAAAAGTGTGATTTGTCAGTGAATTTAAAAATGACATTTATTATCTTTTATTTGGGCTCCAGGTGCATACTAAGATGTAGATTTAAATTCTGTATCTTTTAGCATCAAAAAGACCCAGAAATTGCTTTTGTAGCTGATTATGACCAACAACAAATGACTTTTCAATATCATCTTGATATTGAAAAACTCAATTGGCTTATATTGATAATTTTCACATTTTGTTTCTAAGTGAGATAAGAAAAATATCTCAGGTCATTACTTTTGAGCATTTCTCAGTCTTTATTCTCAATAAAGGAAAAGCCAAAGTGGAAATAATCATCACCATATTTTCTTTTTTATACTGTTCTTTAAGTATTAGAGACATTCATGGCTGCTAAATATAAATTTTGATCAGACGGATGTGTCTAAATACAACTGCTGCACCTAATGAAAATAATCTGGAGGCACATTTATGGAGCTAGTTCAATTTTTAAGTTTCTCTTAGTTTGTATCTCAGCTTCATCATTTGTTTGGCTTTCTGTCTTCTGTGACGAATGGACCAGTATGGATAGAAATGAAACGACCTTGGTACATTCCACAAACAATTTACACTGCAGAGGAACTGACACCCCTGCAGGGCTGAGTCCTGACCTTGCTCATCTCACCGCCACTCACCACTGCATCAATTCACTTGACAGGCATTTAGGGGTTCCCGGGCGTTTCTAGATCAGATGGAGGAGGGGAGAACAATGATTTCATTTCTTTTACTTTAAAAGAGAAAAGTGTAAACAGATATCATCATTACCACTCTTTGAAAGGCCTTCCCTGACCATGGAAACGAAAGAAGCACCGCCCCCCCGCCCCCCGGCCCAATAGTTCCCTATCATTTCATCCTGTTCATAGTTATCATTGCACTCGTCACTATTGGTTATTCTCTTGTTTCTTTTTAGACTTATTGTCTGTGTCCCTCCACCTAGATATAAAATGTAGGAAGTTGGGTCCTGTAGTTGGTGCCGTATCTCCTGATCCCAGTGAATACGGGCCCCTGGGTAACCTGCTGGGGACTGTTGATGATTTGGGTGTTTTTTTTGACACTTCAGTTTTCACAAAGTCCTCAGATTAAAACGAGTGCAAACCCTACTATTAATATAATTTAAGGGAGTGGACACAGGGAGGTTAGAATCATTGCACGTGTGAGTCACTTACCACATCCCTTTTCAGTTTCGTGCTGTGAAATCACCTCCCTCCGTGTGTCAGCGGCGGAGTCAGTCATGTGCCGGCTGAGTGTCCTCCATAGACCATCACAGGCCCCCTATTCCTTTTATTTATGACTAAAATGCGTAGCACCACCCTTAGGCTTATGCTAATTTATTACAAGAAACTGAGGTGTGGAAGTCTGCTCAATGGTCAGGCCTTGCTTCATTTCTGATAATTAAGAGAAATGCGGAACATTGTCAGCCGCCGGCACTTTCATGCTTTTCCGACCTTCTCTTCCAGGGACATGAGAGCAGGAAGGAAAGAAATGAAAGAGAAAGCCTGCGGATGGAGACAAGATCCCGGGAGAAAGCGGAGGAAAGAAGGAGCTCTGGGAAGGAAGAGCATGGGGAGGCACATATGGTTCCTCTCTCGGAGAAAGGACCCAAGTAGGACTTTGTTTCCACTTTAGGATGACAGATGCTGCTGCGTTTTTTGAGTTCTGTATACTACACTGGGGGTGGTAGCTGTAAAAAACTGTCTGCGATACTGAGGGATGGAAGTGGGCGCTGGTTCCACTGCTCCCCAAGAAGACTGCATCATTCTCCAGCTCTGGCATCTGAGTTGAGAGTTTGATCTGCTTTGTTGTCCTTTTATGAGAATCTACACTAATAAAAGAGAAACATGGTAATTGGCGTACGACCGCTACCCTTTTCATTGGCTAATCAGTGAGTATATGCAAATTAACTACAACCAAGATGGCGGCTAATTTGCATATGTCGGCTCCAAGCCACAGACTGAGGCTTTAGGCCTAGGCCGGGGAGGAGCCAGCCAGCGAACTTCCGTGGAGGTGGCGGCGGAGGTGGCGGTGGCGGCAGAGGCTTTAGGCTTGGGCCGGGGAGGAGCCAACCAGCGAGCAGCGGCGGCGGC